TGGGCCTGCAAAATTTCTGAAAAATCAGCTGATAGTCTTATGGGATTTCCTTTGTATGTGACTTTTTTTTTTTTTTTTTTTTTTTCCTTACTGCTTTTAAGGTTCTCTCTTTAACTTTTGCAATGTTAATTATGTCTTCATGTGGCTCTCTTTGGGTTCATCTTATTTGGAATTTTCTGCTTCCTGTACCTGAATGTCCATTTCTTTTGCCATGTTAGTGAAGTTTTTAGTCATTATTTCTTCAAGTAAGTTTTCTGCCCCCCTTCCCTCTCTTTTCTCTTTCTGGGACCTCTATAATGTGAATGTTCGTATACTTGATATTTTCCTAGAGGTTCCTTAAATATTGTTTTTACAAAATTCTTTTTTCTTTTTCCTGTTCTGGTGATTTCCACTATTCTGTCTTCAAGATTGCTGATCCATTCTTCTGCATCATCTTATCTGCTGCTGATTCCATGTAGTGTATTTTTCATTTTAATTATTATATTCTTCAGCTCTGATTGGTTAGGTCTTACATTTTCTTTGTTGAAGTTTTCATTGTGTTCCTCTATTCTCCCAATTTCAGTGAGCATTTTTATGACTATTACTTTGAGCTCTTTATCAGATAAATTACTTACCTCCATTTCTTTAGGGTTTTTTTTTTTCCTGGGATATTTATCTTGTTTGGAACATACTTCACTGTCTCCTTATTTTAGTTTTATTTTCTGTGTTTGTTTCTATAAATTAGGTGGAATAGCTACCTGTCCTGGTCTTGAAGGAGTGGCCCTGTACAGGACCATATCCTGTGTAGACTGTGACTGGAAGCTTTGGCAGGCTGGTTGGAGCTAAGCAAGTGGGCTGGGTTTGGGGTGGGTGCGGTGTCCCAGGGCACTCACTTGGTATGGTGGTTGAAGCTGGAGTGGGCATAGGCCAGGGAGTCCTGGATGCACTGTGCTAGGGCCACCTTGATGCCAGAGTGGCATGGACTGGGGGATCTAGGGTGTGCTTTGTCAAGGCCATCTTGTGGGGTAGTCCCTGGGTACCCTGCCTAGAGCTGCCCTGGCAGGATGGCTGGAGCTGGAGCAAGCTGGGGGTCCTGGGGTGAATCATGCCAGGGCCACCCTGGTGAGATGGGCGCAGGCCAGAGGCATCCTGGGGCACACCATGTCAGAGCTGCCCTTGCAAGCAGTGGGATGACTGGGTTCGGTGTGTGCTGGGGGTGGAGGGAGGAGTCCCAGAGTGCACTGTGCCAGAGCTATCTTGGGGGGATGACTGGAGCTGGTGTGGGCCAGGGGTTCAGGGTCCACTGGGGCAGCCCTGACAGGCTGGCTTAAGCACCTGGTCCCTGCTCCTGCTTGTGCTGTCAAGGTGGAGGAAGAGTGTAAAAAATGACATTCACCGTGCCTCCTATCCTGGAGAGTTCCAGCAGTTTCCTGCCAGTTTGGTGGATGCCCTAAGGTTAGTAAACGGATTTCCTTTGCTCATAGTTTAATTAACCTGTTTTTCACTGTGCCTCAGGGTAGATGAATCTGGACTGGGCCCCTCAAGTGACATCTCTCCCTATTGCAGGTTGCTGCTTTGAGGGTGGGGTTCTCATGGTATCGTGTCTCCTACTGTTCTCTGTGTGGTCCCTCTATTGTTTGTTGGGCAGAGACTGTTCAATCAGCTCTCACTTCTTCCTTAGGAGGAACTGCTCTATTATATGTGTGTCAGTGGGAAGAGATGAGTTTCGGGTCTTTCTGTGCTGCCATCTTGGGCCACCTCCCTTAATTTTACTACTTTGGTCTTTTAACCTTCATGCTGGCTTTGTGATTGATCCACTGGCTTTGTTATTTTTCCAGTGAGATTTTTACTTTCCTATACTTTATTGGTGCCATTTCTTCTCAGCTTAACGAAGTCCCTTTAAAACATTTATTGTAGGGCTGGTTTAGTGGTGATGAACTCCTTTAGCTTTTACTTATCTGGAAAGCTGTTAATCTCTCCAATTTGGAATAATCTTGCTGGGCAGAGGATTCTTGGTTGGAAGTTTTTTCCTTTCTGAACTTTGAGTATGTCATGCCATTTCCTCCTGGTCTGTAAAGTTTCTGCTGAGAAATCTGATAGCTTTATGGAGTTTTCCTTATATGTAATAAGTTGTTTTTCTCCTGCTGCTGATTTTGTCTTTATTCTTAATTTCTCCATTTTAATTATAATGTGTGTTGGTGTGGATCTCTTTGTGTTTATCATGGACTTGGATGTCTGATTCCTTTCCCAGATAAGTTTTCAGCCAGGATTTCTTCAAATTATTTTTCTGGCCCTTTCTGTCTTCCCCTGGGATCTATATAATGTGATTGTTATTCTGCTTGATGTCTGTTAAGGTATCTTCATTTTTCTTAATGCTTGTTTCATTTTGCTGCTTTGTCTGGGTGAGTTCCATAGCTCCTCCTCCAGCTCACCTGATCTATTCTACTTCATCCAGTCTGCTTTGGAACCCCTCTAGTGTATTTTTTAGTTGTTATAACTTCTGTTTGGTACTGTCTTATATATTCTCCTTGTTGAAGTTCACACTGCGTTCATCTGTTCTTCTCCTGAGTTTGGTGAGCATCTTTATGACCACTCCTTGGAACTCTTTATGAAGTAGTTTGTGTATCTCTGTTTCCGTTTTTTCCTGAGGTTTTGTCTTGTTCTTTTGTTTGGAGATATTCTTCTGTCCCCCTCATTTTGTCTGTGTGTGTTTCTATTTATAGGTAGGTCAGTGACCTCTCTCAGTCTTGAAGGAGTGGCCTTATGTAGGAGATGTCCTGTGGGACCCAGAAGGGCAATCTCCTTTTGTCACCAGGCCAGGTGCCTAAGGGTGTCCTCTATGTGAGCTGTGTGCTCCCTTCTATTGTGGTGGGCTGTGACTGTGGTCCATTGGTAGGCAGGGCTGGCCCCTGGCCCATCTGTGGGGTGTATCTAGGACTACTGGAGTGTGTTGGGTGGGGCTGCCAGTGGAGTATACCCTTTCTGGGGCTAGCAGATTAGAGGGAGAATTCCAAGATGGCCCCCAAGTACTGGTATTATTGAGGTAGACTGAGATTGTAGAAGTGGCTCATACCAGTGTCTCCGTCCCCAGGGGGAGTTTCTGCTGTTTCCCACTGCTGTGACGGATGCTTTAAGGTTAGTAAATGGATCTCCTTTACTTATGGTCTGCTTTTTAAAATGGTGTTTTTGCACTGGTCTCTGGGTACAGTGAGTCTGCAACTCAGCCCTTTAAGAGTGCGTTTTCCATTCTCTACAGTTTTATAGTTTTTCTGAACATAATCCTCATTGAGTTTCAAAACCTGGTGTTTTGGGAGCTCATCTCTCCTGTGGAGGATCTAAGGTTTGGGGTGCCTGATGTAGAGCTCAAATCCATCACTCCTCAGGGAAAAGTTCCATACCTTTGAGATCCCTCCTAGTTGTGCTTCCCCATGGCTGATGTATTTTCTCCCCTGGCAAATCCACATCTCTGTGTCTCCTCCTTCCCATCCTGATGTTACCCTTTCAGCCTTTGTCATGGAGGCTTTGGTCATCCAATTTTCAGGTTCCTTTCAGAGGGCATTATTCCATATGTAGTTGTAGATTTGTTGGTTTGTGGAAGGAGGTGAATTCAGGGTCTTGTTACACTGCCATCTCGAGACCAACTCTGTTCTGCCATTTCTTGAGTGTGTTGCCTTGTAATAACAATTATTTATCGTGTGGCTCTCAGCTTTTTTATCTGTAAAATAGGGTTGAGACTATGTCATGTAACTGTAACCAGCATCCCATTGGCGATCACTTAATGCTCAAACACGTCCCCCAATTTGACCTCCTTTCACATCCCCATCACGAGGCAGCTGGCTGCCTGTGCAGCCAGGTCTTGGGAGGAGTTCCATAATGAAAGCTAAACTCACATTTTGGGGGCATCTGCTATATGCCCACACAGTGCTAAATGTTAACATGGATTGTCTCATTCAGTCTTCACAATGGCTTTGTTAAAGTCAAAGCTTAGAGAAGTGATCTGCTCAGGATCACAGCACATGGCAGGATCGATTTTCTATTCAAAGTCAACATATTTGCCTCTAGTCTATGTATCTATTTCCTGTGGGCTTGGTTAGCATAAGCCAGTGTTGATCCCTGAGTGAACAGATGAAAGGAGCACCTCGACCTGTGAGGTGGAAACCTGGTCTCTGCAGTTGTGACCTCCTGTGGCTGTTGGTTCAAGGATGTCCAGAGTCCCAGGGCCAAGGAATGGAAAAATACTGCTCTGGCTCACCTACTCGCTGCCATAGGAGCACTTGGGTGGCTGGGCCACTCTGAATGGAACCTGTGATGGAGCTGATCATGTGAATAAAGGCAGGGTTGCCATAATCAGGGTCCCTGACTTTGAATTAATAGAACCAATTGGGGCAACAAGGGTTCTGAATGTCCTTTGTGACTTAGACTGAGAGCTAGACAGCCAGCCAGCAGGCCTACAGAACTTAAACACAGAGGCATTTATTGTCAGAGAGGGCAAATCTTACACTCAAATGGGTCTTGCCATATACGCATCAAAAGGGAGATGCCCCCACCTCCCCCCCACGGTGCAGGTTCCAGTTATCCTGTGGCCTGGCAACCCCTGTTCTCTTTTCCCAACAGCAGCAGAAGTTGAAGTCCCTCCAGGTTACCCAGCAGCTAGAGGGGATGAGGCAGGACAGACTCCTGAATGCCATCTGCCTGAGTCCCACCTATTCTCTAAGCTTCAGGGAAACTGGAAAACGTCCCAACTGGCAAAGCGTACTTTCTTAAAAAGCTGGACAAAAGTATGGGACATTCCGTTGCTTAACAAAACAAAATCAACTGGTCTGGTGACCTGATGCTGCAGCAACATCTTGGAAGAGACAGGGAGTCTCCCTGGGGAATGAGGGGCAGGAAGAAAGGCCCAGCCATAGATGTCCCCCTCGGAACCTCTGCTCAGAAGGGGGCAGACGGAGGGGCCGAGCCAGTTAGAGAGGGGGTCCCTCCCTGGCTGCATTAGGATGGTCTCTGGTCTTCAGTGCAAGGCCTCAGTCCTCAGTCACAGGTGGGGGAATGAGCTGCAGCTGGAAGTTCTCATTCTGGAAGATGCTGTTGAAAGCAGGGCCACTCTGGGAGCCACTGAACGGCCTGTAGCTGTCGCTGCTGCGATTCTGGGAGAGTTCTGTAAGGAGGGCCAGCTGCAAAGGAGGGGACACACATCAACCAAGGTGAGTAGGGGAAGACACTGTGGGTGGGTTTGGCAGGGGGTGTGGAACAGAGTGGAGGGTCCTCAGTTCCTTGGCCTCGAATACACAAGGGACAGCACTGTGCTGCAGGGTATAGACCCCAGGGCTGCATCTCACAAACGAGTAATGTGACTTCGGGCAAGTTCATTTCACTTTCAGGGCCCAAATTTCCTCCTTTAATAATGATGAGACTGCACTGGGGACGTCTCATTCCGAACCTCCCTTGCTCTGAGCACTCCCACCCTGGCTAGCACAGGACCCTGCCGCCCCCTCCCCACACACGCCCTGAGCTGAGGTTCTCAGCAGAGCTTGTTCCACACTCTGCCTCTGACCTCTCCTTTGCAACCTGGATAGCTCCAAGTGTCCAGCTGCCACTTTAAATTCAGGGACCTGTCCTCTTAGAGTCCTGCTTCCACCAATGACACCAGCAAAACCCTCTGTTAGTGGCTCTGTTCCGAAAGATTAGGTAAGGTTAATACCAACCCACTGGGAAGCCAGACTGTCACTCCGAGGGCCATCCCTTTCACCTCAAAGGCTTTCTGCAAAAGTAGGGAGCAGAGAGCCTGGCCCTCATGGTCACAGAAGAGACAAATTTTACACCCAAAGTCCTTCACCTGGACAGGGCAGCTGTGAGGAGTGAGCCATCAAAGTCTGTGTCAGGCTCTGGACCCAAAGTCCACAGGTACTTCAAGGTAACTGTAATGAGTGCCTTCTAGGTGCCAGGCACTGTGCTAGGTCCTTTACATATGTACTATTTTTTTTTTTTTTTCAACGTTTATTTATTTTTGGGACAGAGACAGAGCATGAACGGGGGAGGGGCAGAGAGAGAGGGAGACACAGAATCGGAAACAGGCTCCAGGCTCTGAGCCATCAGCCCAGAGCCCGACGCGGGGCTCGAACTCACGGACCGCGAGATCGTGACCTGGCTGAAGTCGGACGCTTAACCGACTGCGCCACCCAGGCGCCCCCATATGTACTATTTTTTAAAAACTTATATAAACATTAAAAAATACGGTATTTTGAGAGACAGCGAGCATGTGCGTGAGTGGTGGAGGGGAAGAGAAAGACTCCCGAGCAGGCTCTGCACAGTCAGGGCAGAGCCCAACATGGGGCTCGATCCCACAAACCATGAGATCATGACCTGAGCAAGAATGAAGAATTAACCAACTGAGCCACCTAGGCGCCCCCACATGTGTACTATTTCTAATCTTCCACAACCCTCTGGGTAAAAAACCCAGAGCCCCAAGAGTTAAATTAACTTGCCCCAAGTTACTCTGTGGTGAGTGGCAAATGGTAGTGTGGGATTCAAACTCAGGTCCATGTGGCAAGTTCTGCTCAGCTGAGCCACCGACAGTTGTGCCTTCCCTAGAGGTAACTCGTCTATCACCTGCTCCCTACTCACCTACCCTGCCAGGAACCCGGTCTTCTGGCTGACCCAGCAGCTGTTCTCTGATCCTGGCAAGGGGTTCTCTCTCCATCCAAGCACTAATGGCACAAGACTCGCCTGTCTCATTTGTCACTTTTGTTGAAAACTTACTACCAGGATTATGGTAACTGGAGAGACACCCAAAGGACCTCTAAGTTCAAAGTGCCAATTCATCTAAAGCAATCCAGTGACACGTGTGGGGCCCAATTCACAGCACTGGCTCAGAAGCTCCAAGTCACTCAGCTAAGGACACACAGGAGGTACACTTGCTCAAGTGTACGCACTGCTGGTCAAGCAGGTTGCAGAGAGATGTCCCTCGCTCTGCTCGAGCCCCATCTCGTGCCACTTCTTATCCTCTACAACCCTCTCAGCTGCCCATCGGCCTGTGAAGTTCTCCGCAAGAACAATTCTGTACAGTGCTGGGAACAGAACGGGCGACAGATGTTACATAAACTCAAAGTTCTTTCACATTCAGACACTGTGAGGTAGAAAGATCAACCACAAAGATATTTTCTATTTCCTAAGAGAAGACATTTCTGTGTTCTACTTCTGTAACTTTGTGATGTGGAATCAAGGAGTCCTGAAAAACGGCTCAACAGTTTGAAGCCGTGGACCTTGCTGAGAAGGCCCAGAAAACTAACTCCTGGGGCAGAGCTTGGCTGAGGCTGAGAAGGGACACAGGTGATGCCAGTTCAATAAAGCTGCTGGACCACATTCAGGAGACCCCTGGAGAAGTCCCCTGGGATAAAAACCAACTCTCAAAGAAGGAACACAAGTTTTCCTCTGGGCTACCAAGCCACCCAGCAGGCATCTGCATAAGACCAGGGTGGGAGAAGGGAGTCCAGGCCTAGAAGCAGACGCACCGTCTGTGCAAGCTCAGGATAAGCTCAGAGGACAAATCTGGCCGGACAGGAATTTAGGTATGACTTGGGGAGTGGAGAAGGTGGTAATCTGGACTCCACCTTCAGGTTACAGAGGTCCAGGAAAGTGTTTAAACAAGAGGGTAACAAGACATTGGGGTCTGGAGTGAGCACCCAGACAGCAGCATGGAGCAAGGACAGAAGGTCTGCAGCGGCCTCTGTGAGTGACAGTTTGGAGGGGAGGGGAAGGGAAGAAATACAGAGGAGGAAAAAAAAAGATGCCTACCCGATCTCTGGGGGAAAGGGCTGTTGTGGGGTTTCTGCTCTGGGTGACTGGACAGGCCACCTGGAGACAGGCAGTAGGCAAGGAAGGACAGGCTGAGAAAGTTACTGAGCACACCTGGGACGGGCCCGTGGGGCACCCAGACGGAAGCTGGGGCATGACTGCTAGCAGCTCTTCCAGTCTGTTCTCTTCTACAGTTCTAGACAGGCACTCAGAGTTTGAGCCCAGGGCCTTTGGAATGAAGACCAATCTTCCTAGTCTCCACTGCAGTTCCCACTGCCTCTGTATCCTCTGCTAAATCCAGAATGCTCCCTGGGGCTGGGGCTCCACATGGCCTTAACCAGGGTTCCAAACTGAAGAGGCAGCGGGAGGACCTGAGGACACTGCATTTCCCAAACAGTATCTATAAATAGGGAAATACAAATCTAAACCACTACATAAACATTACCCGGGAACTTCCTCGGTAGAGACGGCAAAGTTGATCAAACGCTTGGATTTGCTGTGGGTCCAGAACAGGTTCTGAGGCTGCCTGTAAATTAGAAAAGATAAGGTAAACAAAACCCATGGGTGGCCTCTGCACGTGGCCAATGCCGAAACAGAATACGGTCTTCCTTTGTGCTTTTCAGAGGAAACCCACGCCACCAGCAAACAGATTTTACTGAACATTGCTTAGAATTGGGCGCATCTTTTCCTCCTCAATATTTTTACTATCTTTGGGGGGGAAACGTACTAAGAGCTCAGAGAGAATGGAAGCAAGAGTACCCTTGAAATCACTCATGCCGGCCTAGGGTGGAACTATGTTACCGCTTCAGCCCCTATCTGGGTGAAAAGGATCTCGTTTTCGGTCCAGAGAGCAGCTGTCAGTGAGGAGGCTCACACCTCACGCGCTTCTGGAATCCCACAGTTGTGGCCCCAAAGTAACACTTAGTTCTTGTGATGCTGTCAGTGGTGTGGGGATGGCTGAGGACAAGGTGGCTCAGTGGAAATCCTGGGAGGGGCGGTATGATCCAAAACAGCCCGAAAGAAAACTGGACCCATGGAGGCTCTGTTTTTCATTCTGTTCCATGTCTCTGAGTCTGCCAGACACACGGAGAGATCATTCTCTAATGAGAACGTTTAAACTTGCCTTGACACTTTTTATTTATTTTTAAAGGGGTACCTGGGTGGCTCAGTTGGTTAAGCAACCGACTTTGGTTCAAGTCATGATCTCATGGTTTGTGGGTTCGAGCCCCCACATAGGGCTCTGTGCTGACAGCTCAGAGCCTGGAGCCTGCTTCAGGTTCAGTGTCTCCATCTCTCTCTGCGCTTTGCCTGCTTGTGCTCTTTCTCTCTCTCAAAAATAAATAAACAGAAAAAAAAAAATGAGAGAGAGAAAGCGTACCTTCAAGTGGGGGAGAGGTAGAGAGAGAGGGAGAGAAACAATCCCAAGCAGGCTTAGCACCGAGCGCAGAGCCTGGCACAGGCTCAATCTCATGACAGTCAGATTATGACCTGAGTCGATATCAATAGTTGGATGCTCTTGTAGGAAAAATATCGTATTTTTGGAGATAAAGTGTGTGGAGTGTTACACTTCTGACAAACACTAGGTAAAATACACAGGGGAGATCCAAGCTAAAGACGATCTGTAAGTCTAAGAAAGACTATACACCTAGCTCCAACAAAGCAAAACAAGAAAAAAATATAATTATCTTTGAGACACTTAACAACGAAAAACATGGTTTTGCCACCTGGTTTCCTGAATCCCTTTAGTATTACTGGCATAAACTGGGGAGCAGGGTGGGTTAAGGACAAGGGTGATACATGCCTTTTATTAGCCATTCAAAACCTCAGCTGTGGGCTTGCCACTGCCACAGTCCATATGACAAGGGACCAGCCACCCCCATTTCACCTGTGCTTATTCCCTGGTTACTCTGTAATAAGGTTTAACTAGGAAGGCCCACTCAGAAACAAGTCAGCAGTAGACTGAGGAGGGTGTTGGGAGGTGGGGGTGATGGTGAGGGGCAAGGCAAGTTAATTAAAAAGAAGATTTAAATGTCAAGTTTGTATATGATCAAGCAGCAAGAGCTAGAAAAGGTCTCCCCTTATGGAAGTATTTTTATAAAACAGTCCTTTGCCTTGAAGGGATATTGTAAGAAAAAAATCTCATGAAATGTACTATTGTACTTGCTACAAAAGTGTGGATGGTACAGGCCACTTACAGCGATCCACTGAAAAAAGTCCCATCAGACTCTGCACTGAGAAGAGCTGTACTGGACCCAGACTTGCTAATAATTGTATTTTCTTTTCTGCTTTTATCACTAGGGAATGCAGGGCTAAAGAGTCAGCTGCATAGACTAGCAACTGCTGAGGACTTGGTGGCACACATTTATGTATGCAATTACAACCCAGTTTTATATTATTCTTCAATCATATAGTTTTTTTTTTTTTTAATCTAATTTCCTCATTTATTT